CAACATAACAACCACTGGCCTGAAGACGGAGAAAGAACTGGCAGGGGAGTGACTGGTGAACAGTGTATAAGTATGGAGGAGACTAATGAGGTGCAGCTGGTGAGTAATCAGGGAAGCGGGGCAGGTGTGTTGAATAGTGTAATCAGTGCAAGGGCTAGGCTAGTGTGAGGAAAAAGAAGAGAGGAAGGTGGAGCTGGGCAAACCTGACACTTTTACTTGTAATGAAGTATTTTTGAAGTGGCATTGGTACTTTCAATCGAGTAAAATATCTCAATATGTCTTCCACCAAAGTACAAGGGTCACATGTATGCCTTTTGTTACAAGGGTCTCAGTTTTTCTTGTCTTTTAATTGCTCTCCTGTCTGTGTTCTTCTGCTCAGGTGTCTGGTAAAGTGGCTGGAAGTGCGCTGCGTCTGCCCTATGTGCAACAAACCTATAGCCGGTCCTCCTGAGCAGCACCACAGCATAGGGACTCTGCTGGATGAACTGGTGTAACCTCTAAACACCTGCCATCCTGGGTAGGACACGAACTCCAGGCTAAACCAGCTGGTATAACTTAGTGACAAAGGGGCAGACACTGTTGTTTAAGAGCAGCAAAAACACCAACATAATGAAAATAAGTTGGGGTAACCTAGTTACCACCCGGAGAAAGACTAAAAGATTCTGTTGCCTAGCAACCATCTCCGAGATGGCAACATGACAACTTGAGGTGTCTGAAAGATTATCTCCAGCCACCCACACATCACTCCACCACTCTTCTTTCAGCATCCCTCCCCCTCCCCCTGTCTTCTTCTCTTGTTGCCTCAAGTGAGGTTAATGGCACCAGTGAAGTGGAGGGGAGGCAGTTGCGTTCTTCACAGTGATGTGGACAAGTGAGTGTCAAGGAGCGCTGGGTAGGAGGTGCCGAGCCCCTCTGAGCATCTGTGTTTATGTTATGGCGGGCACTGATGTGAAATATCAATATTGACTGAGGTTACTGACACTCTTGTGTAAAATGAATGTCTCAAATTCTTTCACACAAGTCGTTTTGAGACAAAGCCACAGACACTTTATTTTCTGCTCAATTTTCCTGTCCATACCACTCAAACATGTTGGCGGACATTGAACATTTTTAACGATACAGTAAATATTAGTTTATAAAAAGAAACGGGTCGAACAGCGATTTAATAAAATGACTGGACAGACTAATACTGTAGCAAAGAACTGATTAAATTACTTTCAAGGAAATTAACTTTTTAAAAGATTTGGCCTCCGATTATAAACTGATTAAGAAAAATAATGGAAAAGACGGATTCATGCCTCATCAGTAGGACACTAAATTATTCATGTTACCAAGAAGCAGCACTCAAGCTGAAGTCAGTGTGTAGCAGTATCAGTGTTTTCCTCAAGTCTTTCTCACAAAACAATGGATTTTTAGCTGATATGTTTAACTGATACCAGTGTAATATCATGCTCTAATACTGTACATGCCCCAGTTGTTTTCCACTGAATGTTTTATTGTTCAGACATGTTTTTATTGTGTCAATAGAAATGGAAGGAACTGACTTGTCCTGCCTCTCACTGTAACAGTTTGGTTCTATGTTGAAATATGAATTCACAACAAACAGTTTCCATACATTCATTTTTTACTCTTAAGAGTCCGACTTGAGTACAGCACAGACGGTCCCCTGTTTTCTGGTGTGGTGAATCTTTCATAAAAGTCTATGAATTATCAGAGATGCCGCTCATCTAAAGATAACCGAAGCAGCTGCACAGACCTGAGGTGTTGTTCTGTAAATTCATTTAGCAACTAAATTTCCCTTTCACATGCAGTATTTTTGTATGATTTACAGAGATTCAGAAAGAAAAACACTGCCTAAATTGAGCACAAAACTCACAGAGCACATTGCCCAGATAAAATAGGCGCCTGCACTACAATTTAAAGCCAAACACATAGGTGAGGCTGTTGAAGTCACATGCACTAAAAAAAGAAAGAAAGAACATGTGCAAGGGAAATGTTCACCGATTCTGACCACATTCCACATTTTGTAATTCAACAAATGTAAATAACTCAAAACAATAATAAATACAACTGTCTGTTTTGCTCACCGTCTCTTGTTTTTTTCCTGATAGTCATGGTTTTGGCACCACCACCAGGTGAAATATATCAAAGTCTATTAAACTGGTATTTTATCTAGATCACCAGTTCTCAGCCTTAGATTTTAAACCCAAAACATCCATCCATCCAACCATTATTTTGAGGTTCACAGCACTTGGTGAGTATAATTACATCATTTTTTCCCCAAAATCTTTGTCATTAATTACAGCTTTACTGAGTGTAAAACTGTGTTGTGTGGTCATGTTTGCATGTTTTAGCTTGTGATCTGATCAGATTCATCATAAATCACACCACCCACTGTATTTCACTGCTGGTAAAGTGTTCAACCAAGATGACAGCAAAATTAAAGCTTTGCAGTCATTTTAAATACACGAAGGGCCTTTGTATGAGCCGCAACAGATGAAGACTCACAACCACAACTCTAATATTTGAACTGAAAAACTATTGATTCCTCCGCAACGCGGTCCGGGATAAGCGGAAGAAAATGGATGGATGGATGGAACTATTGATTCTGTGGAAGGATTTTATTAGTTGTCAAGCTCCAGAGTTTCAAAGACTGATCTTAATGGTGGAGTCCTACAAGTTAGGCTGAGTGTGTAAACAGGTTTAAGTCCCCACATTGTGAGTAATACCAGGCAGGCACGTGTACACACACACACTGCTTGGGTGGACCTGGAAACATAAGTGAGCCTTTCATGAAATCAGCCTCTACCTGACCAATAAAGAGCCAACTGTTGCTGTGTTGATGGCAATACACACACACAAACACACACACAGGGTGGAGAGACCCACAGAGAAATGCTTGTTTCTGTCACTTTCCACCTTCAGCGTCGTGGCACTCGGACTGAACAAAAAGGTCAGGTTCTTTCTCTTTTGGTGTATTTTATAGCAGACAATCTAAACACAACAGGACTGGCAAGTAAACAAGCTGCGGGACATCAGGACAGGACACATTAGGTTGGTTGATTGGTTTCCTCCAGTTACTTCTCAGATTTTTTATGTCACTGTTCCTACCGCTGTTTCTTCTTTCTGTGACATCCTTTAAGGCTTTCTGGTCATAAAATGGTTAAAAAATGGTTAACTTAACGCTGGACTCACTGCTGTTATTTTCACAATAAGTGCACAATCAAAGCCTTTATATCTCAGTACAAATGATGTAACATTTAACAAAATAAATAATAATTCTTGGTAACCAAGCTGAAGGTCAGGAACCCCTAGAGGTTCACGAGTTAAATCTGATAATTAAAAAAATTCTTTTGCACACAATGACAAATATTTGTTCTGACTTTTCTCTAATTTTTGGTTTTTAGCCACGATTTTAGGGGAGAAAATTTTGGTTCAAAACTTTGCTTCAGTCTCAAAGAACTCAACAGCAGTTTGATGAACTACCAAGCAATTTTGTACAGCTATTCATGGTGGCCAGAGGATGAATTTTACTTTGGCAATCCCCTAACGTTTCCTCAAGCACTGCCATGAGGTTGATATTTGTGAATTTTAATAAAACTACACCTTTAAAACTAGTAACATTTGCATCAACCTCAGGTTATTTTTTGTGTTTAGTCCTAATTACCAAATGTTTGGATGCCAGATTCCTAAACTATGACTGTCCATCCATCCATCCATCCATCCATTATCTACACCACTTATCCTGAAGAGGGCCGTAGGGGGGCTGGAGCCAATCCCAGCTGACACTGGCCAAGAGGCCTGGACAGGCTGCCAGTCTAGCACAAGGATGACTAAACTATGAATGTGAACATGGTAAACGTTATAACTGCTGAACATCATCGTGTGAGCATGTTGGACTTCAGCAATTAGCTTAAAGCCTCACAGAGCTGCTAGCATAGCTGAGACTCTTCACTGTGAAATACTGGAACCTCCTGCACCATAACCTGTAATGAAATGTCACAAGAGGATTTAAGGAGCCATAATTTTGGGAACCACTGTTGTTTTTTAATGTTCACTGGTATTTTTGATACTTTTTGTCATTGTAGGGACGTGGAACACTGGTGATGATTTCTGCACTTTAAGTGACAGAAACACAGACAGAAGCAAAATGTTGGGACACTGTGTGAAGACGCTGCCTGTGGATGTGACAGGTGAGAAAACAGGAGGATGTCTTCTCTGAAAGCCATACTTTTTAACCTATTGTTTAGGAGCTATGGTTGCTCATCTTCTTGTGGATGCAACTCCACCGGACAGGAGTGTGGTCATAGTTTTATAAACCTACAAGTGTTTAAGAATTATTTAAAAGAAAAGGCACCATGTTTAAAAGATGGATTTTAGCCCTGGTGTCCCGCATCGGTCTCATTGTGCTGGGCCTCTGCTGCTGTCTGGTGCTGTTCTACCTCCTTGCCTGTAAACCTGCTTCTCACAGTAGCCAGAAGTCTCTACTGTGGCCTGGAGGTGCCACTAGTAAGGAGGGATACATGGCTTTGTTGCAAGAGAGGGAGGACTCTCACAGACATTACATCAACAGCCTGACCAAGCAAATAGCCCAGCTGAAGGAGGCTCTCCAGGAAAGGACTCAACAACTACAGGAGTCCCTGGATAAAGCCAGAACAAAAGGGATTCTGCCTCAGGGTCTGGAGAGTCTGCACAAAACCCAGACACAGTTTGACCTGAAGGTAGGAACACAATACAGAAAATATGCTACTCATGTGCGCTGATGGAATAAATGTAGTGTGACTGTAGATGTTGTTATATCATGACCTCCAGGAGTTCTTTCGCTCCCAGCTGAACCAGGCAGAGGTGAACTCAGGTGCAACGCTGCCCAGCGAATATGCAGTGATTCCTTTTGACACTTTTACCCTGCAGAGGTGAGCAGGACAGTCGTACATCAGAAAGAGCCTTCCTACAGGATTACTCTGTAGCCAACCACTGACGTCAAGTCTTATGGTTTTTGTTTTGTCACTCAGGGTGTACCAGCTGGAGACAGGGCTGACCAGGCACCCTGAGGAGAGGCCCGTGAGGAAGGACCGGAGAAACGAGCTGCTGGGTGCTGTGGAAACAGCTCTGCACATCCTGAATGGGCCTCAGCAACACGTGGACAACGCCAGGCGCAAGCACACATACTCCCCTTCAAACTTTGTAGAGGGTGAGAAAGACTGCAATTTAGTCATACACTGATGTTCTTAGCATGTTGTTAGTTAGGAAACAAGCGCAAGTAGACAGATCTTAATCATGCAATATCTTATTATAATTTAATATAGCAACTGAAGTGAAATTATTGCTTTGAGGTAACTTGTACGTGATTTTCAGCATTGTTGATTTATTATCACGTCACCAAAATTATTTTCAGACACTTTCAATCTCAACTTCATTAATCATGAGTTTGCTTTGTGTACCTTTTCCCTGACTCCCACACTCTTGCCTTACTTAAGTGCAGTGATAGTTTGTTAAAATCAAGCCAACCTCTTAGAGATTTGATTTTCTCTTCCAATGTATGGTTTTAAATTATATTACAACAAAAATAATTTGGGTCACTGCCAAATAAAACACATTTTAATGAAAAAAAGTTCTACTCTTTTTTCTGCCACAGGGTTGGCTCGTACAGAGAGGGACAGGGGAAGTGTTTACGAGCTGACATTTAGAGGCGACGGGCTGCAGGACTTTACACAGCTTGTGCTCTTCAGGCCGTTCGGTCCAGTGATGAAGGTGAACAGCGATAGCGTGGACACACGCAGCATGCTCATCAACATCATCGTACCTCTTTCCAAGAGGTCAGACGCATTCAGACTGTTCATCAACAACTTCAGGTATCATTTGGAAGTGAATTAGATTTTAGAGTTTAATTGTTGTCCTTACTTGTGAAACAAAAATCAGAAATACTGAAACAACTTTGCTCATCTGTTGAACCACCAGCTGAGAATTTGGCGCTGAACATGTGGCCCCTCCATACAATGCACGTTACTGAGAATGTCAGCTTTGTAGGGCAGATGTCATACAAATCACACATACAAAGGGCAGGTGCTATACAAATAAACGTGCCTTGCTATATTTTGAATAAGGTTATTTGTGGCTGTCTCTGGATAAAGTGGCATAGAAGTGGACCTCACACATTTATTTGTATAATGCTTAATCGTCTGTCTTTGGTTCAGAGAAGTGTGCATCCAGCAGGACGGCAGGGTTCATCTCACTGTGGTCTACTTTGGCCGAGATCAAATAGACCAGGTGAAATCCATGCTGGACCAGACAACCAGGTGACGTAGGCCATTTACATTTGGTAAAAAATGATTTGTGGTCTTGAGTGATTTTCCTTTTTTTTTTTTTTGACCAGTCTGTTATTCCCTCTTTATTTTACTTTTTTGGTATTAAATTTACAGTCATGTTTATCTGGTCAGATGAAATAATTTTTTATGTGCCACTACAGACCTCTTAGCATTGAGCGTTACTGGGGGCTAGTGGGTGATGTGTGTGGAATCCAGATGTCTCATGTCTAGGCTTCGAAGTCCAGAGTAAAGTCCTAAACAAGTCATGTAATGTGACTCGAGAACTCTGAGTTGACATCATGCAGCTTGAGTCTGCACCTCTGGCAAAATGACAACATGCAATAACACTGATTACTTAATGAACTAATGTCAAGTAGGAGAGAGTTAATGTGGATTATTGCAAGATGATGCTGAAATCAGTTTCTCCTACTCAACTATTTTAGAACCCATACTCCCAAATCCATCTGTGTTGCACTGCAGATATTTTACATAAATAGAAAAAAACGGCAATGTTTTAGAGCTGCCGGCTAATAACAAGCTCGTCCTCTGAAGCTCCTGGACCCCCAGGGAGCAATACACACATCCCTCAATCATGTGTGGGCTGGAATAATAAAACTGTAATACAGATTTTTTTTTTAACATTTGGCTTTTGGGAGCAAAATATGAAGGTTGGTTGCTTGTGAATGTTTATTCACTCTAACCATTTCAGATAAAACACAAAGGCATCAGAGCACCTATCTAACTGCACACAGAGATTAATCCATGTCTGTTTCTTTTCCTCAGAGAAACTCGGTTTAGGAGCTTCACCCTGATCCAGATGAATGAAGAGTTCTCTCGTGGGCGAGGCTTAGATGTGGGCGCCAGGGCTTGGAGACAGAGCCAGAATGTCCTGCTTTTCTTCTGTGATGTTGACATCCACTTCACCGCTGACTTCTTAACTTCCTGTCGTCTTAACACAGAGCCTGGTGAGAGTTGCTTCACTTCCAGCAGTGTGAAATATTTACAGTTTATGGGGTTTTTTTGCAACATTTTAATCATATCTTAGTAAACAAACCATAGAAACACCAAATGACCACACAAAATAATTACAAAGAGACACAGAAAGACCACAAAGAATCTGGTGGTCATATAAAGGATGGCGGGGGGGCCTTTTACCTGTCTGTGCACATGCGCCCATTTTCTCAGAATCCACCCATACCTTTTGTCTTCTCTAAGCCAAGGGAAGACAACCTGTAGCAACTGCAGTTCAGTGAAAGTAACAAACAACTGGAAGTCACACCCATAATTTAGACAATCCAAACTTCCATCTATTATCTATACCGCTTATTCCGGAATAGGTTCACGAGGGGGCTTTAGCTTATCCCAGCTGACACTAGGCGAGAGGCAGCGTCCACCCTGGACAGGTCGCCAATCTGTCACAGGCCTATCCAAACTTACATGAAGCTTATAATTAAATGACAATATATGGGATGCACTTGATTTTGTCCCTTTCTTTATCAATAAGTTGTCACTGTTGTGGCAGCACTGCACTCCTCAAAGATTGGTTGTGCTGTGATTGGTCAGCATGTTCAGCTCTGCAATGTGAGTTTCTTAAGAAAATAAACTTTATTATGTGTTAAGGCCTGGTGGTTATTGTTGCTCACACGTTTCTTATTGTTTTCACTCCAATCAAACCTTGGCTGTTGCTGATGCTAAAGTAAAATGCAGAACTTCCCAACCACCAAAGAACCTTTTCTACCTGAAACCAGGTGTTTAAAATTGAAAATATTTAACTGTCTTGTCTCTAGGTAAGAAAGTGTACTATCCAGTGCTCTTCAGCCAGTACAACCCATCTATCATCTACAGTAACCAATCAGTTCTACCTTCGATTCAACAACAACTGGTAAGTTAAAGATAATAGACAAAGCTGAATTTGCTTGAAAGAATGAGAGGAAGTGTTGTCAGGATGCATGAAACTGTCTCATGGCTGTTCCTTTTGTCTCAGGTGATAAGAAAGGAAACTGGATTCTGGAGAGACTTTGGGTTTGGCATGACATGCCAGTACAGGTCTGATTTCATCAACATAGGTAATTACACAGCTTGCGCCATCGGTAATTTCCCTAATTTCTTGCTTTGAAAGGCATGATGCAGTTAAATATCACTGCTTACTGTCACTGTCATAATATAAACATTGCATATACTTTAGCAAAAACAAATGCTTAAAAGTACTGTACTTTTTTTTTTATAAAGCTTCCACTTTTTTCCTCTTTCCACAGCTTCTTTGGTGATACCACTAAAACACTTTTTCACAGCCCTGACCCTTTCCCTAATTGGAACAATGCACTTCCACTCCACTTCCACTTTGGATGATTCCTCTCTGCTTTGTGTTGTTTCCTTGTTTAAATATAACAAATTTAGAAAACAGGATTCTCTTAAAAGCATAACTATAGTTGAGTAATACAACATCTCCTGATTCTTGCTGTCTAAACTCTAACTCCTGTCAGGTGGTTTTGACCGTAACATCAAAGGCTGGGGGCTGGAGGATGTGCACCTGTACAGGAAGTACCTTCACAGTAAGCTGATGGTGATTCGCGCTCCGTCCCGTGGCCTTTTCCACTTGTGGCATGAGAAGACCTGTGCAGATGAGCTTCCTCCAGACAAGTACAAGATGTGTATGCAAACCAAAGCCATGAGTGAAGCCTCGCACGGTCAGCTGGGGGAGCTCTTCTTCAAACGGGAGGCTCATATGAACTCCCTGAAGTAGATGAACAGTGGAACATAATGAGCACAATTGGTCTAGAAATGGACGATTGTTAAGTGTGTTCATCTGCACCTTCTTTACTCTCTCCATGTTTAGTTACATTTTTTTCTGGGGTGGGTGGCTCTTTTGGTATTATTCATTTATTATACTTGGTATTAGTCTCTTTGATGTTATTATCAATAAGCAAAACAAAGCATTGTATCAGTAGTATTGATACTTTTGAGATCAATCTATCCACTGTTAACAAAGAAGACAAAAGTCGTTTGATTTTATTTGTTACATCAATAAAAGTATGAAGGATATAATGTAGCCTACATTTGTCTCTTCAATGTTAATAAAAAAAACTCACAGAGAGAGAAGAGAATGAGTTTAGACAGCTGGCAACAATATGGCATCATTAAGTGTTAGCTAGCTAGCTGACTGGGGAGCTCCCCACTTCCACCACAGACCCCGACCAAGGTCTTAATAATCACTAATCATCAATAAAATGAATGTTATTTAAATATATCTAGCCTATATTAATTAAATATAACCTAAAGTATAATTTCACATCTATCAAAGCACGTCCATCCGGCTTCAAGAGTCAAGAATAAAGTCCAGCTTTGAACTCATGCGCAGTTTGTGGAATCAATCAGAAGCCATCACGGGCCACCTCAGACGCCATCGCGGCTACCCTCCACTATTCCCTTTTTCACCTGGAAAATGGAGACTCCTACATCAGGATACTCTTCATTGACTACAGCTTTGCCTTCAACACAGTTGTCCCCCACAAACTCACCCACAAACTGTCCACACTAGGTTTGCACCCCACCCTCTGTGACTGGCTCCTGGATTTTCTGACTGGCAGGCCCCAGACTGTCAGGACTGGCAATAGGATTTCAGCCAGCAATGTTACAAACACTGGCTTCCCACAGGGATGTGTCCTCAGTCCCATCTTCTACACCCTGTTCACCCACAACTGTGTCGCCTCCCACAAAGACAACATCATCCTTAAGTTCGTGGACGACACCGCAGTGATAGGTCGCATCACTGGTGGGGACGAAGCAGCCTACAGGAGGGAGGTGGCCGGTCTGGTGTCATGGTGCAAGGACAATAATCTCAGCCTCAACACGGACAATACGAAGGAGATGATAGCGGACATGAGGAAGGAGAGGAGATCTCATTGGCCACTGTTCATCCAGGGGCTTTAAGTGGGGA